GGGCCTTTTTTCCTTTCATGATGGAGTCTCCAAAGTAAATTGGCTGCCATATATGGGCAAGGTTAAGGTGATTTCCTTATCTTCCTCATCCATCATTTTACAGTCTTGGTGCAGTTCTCAAAATGTTCAGTTTCTAAAGAAGGCAAAATGACAGGAAAATTCTCAGTTGGAAGTTGCGTCCAGGCATTCGATGAGTTGGGAAGATGGTGTGCAGCTAAAGTAGTCAAAGATGAAGAATGGTCATACCTAGTGAGTTTTATTGGATATACTGGGCATGATATCTGGGTGGATGAACGTTCCCTAAGACATCCAGTACCTCCCTATGAAGAGTATCATCAGAAACGTAAGTAGCACGCTCATGTTCCATTTTAACATTGAATTGTTGTTCTACCGGTATATCCGAAAGAAATATGATTTAGAAATTAATACGTATTTCCAAAAGATACCGGTACGTGAACAAAGAATTAATGAATGAATAAATAACAAGTTTGTTATATCCTTGTAAATGCACTGTACATGTTTCTGACAGAAAAACCCAATTAGGAACGATTAGTAAATCGGAATATTTGCGGCATGCAAGTTATCTGTGGTACATGTAAAAAATTGTTTCCTGTTGAAGTAATGAAATGCCATAAAACCCTAGAAAGAAATTTCAAAAGTCGTCCCGTTTTCATAAATTTCTACCTTTGAATATTTTACAGTTTAACATGAGTGAGCATTACAGCCAACAAATATCATATATCTTTGTTACAGAAAATCGCAGGAAAGCCACAAAAAATCAGTCACAAAAGTGTTAAAAGAAGCGGTACAGTTTTTGAGAGAGTGCCAGCAAAGCGACCAGGTTGAAACAAGTGATGGACACAAGGGCACTATCCTAACAGTGGATCCCTTCAAAAGGATCTTTGTCCTGCAAGATGGAACTGCAGTAAACCTTGAAACATTTAATTTCGATGTAAAGATTACTCGATAAATGTTTTAGGGTTTTCTACATACGTCTTGGTCATGCATTCTTTAAACTTCTTATTCCTAAAAAATCCTGGAAAAGTCATGAAATGTAGATTTCCAGGAAATATAGTTTTCCGTGTAAAACCAGTTATCACAACCAGGAGAACAATTTAATGACAAGTTGACTCTAGTGTTAGATTTAATTTAATTATTTTGATGTGTTTTCTGTTATCCTTATATTAGTTAATGAAATCTGTCTGGACTCTATACAATAAAACATGCCATAATCAGGAAGGATCACAGCACTTTTTATCAATCCAAAAATTTGGACTGGTAGTGTCCATTTCGGGTTATTTCTTTTACAAAAAGCCCGAAATTGCGGGCTTATTTGGAAAGACAATGAGAGCTGGGCGAACAGTTTTACTGTTTTGGATATATCTTTGGGAAAAGGCAAATAAAAACAAATCATGACTAAAACCCATAAAATTGAAACGAAAAGTGATCTACTGGCCATAATCTTGAATTTCCGGTGAAAAAACCGGAGACAAACCTCCTCCGAAAGTCAACAGGCGGGAGGTATTTCGCTCTGATTTTTCACTGCTTTCTCTGCGTGCACTGAACTAAAGGAAGCCCGTTTGAAGACAAGGTAAAATCGACCACGTTTGCATCCCCGGTGCAGGCAACTAAAGTCCTTCCGGCCTCTTAAACATCCCTCGCGGCAACTTAAAAAACAAAAAACAGAAACAAAAAAGCAGAGTGTTTTGGGGTCATTCGGCTTTCTATTGATTTTCAATTTTAAGTAGGTTACTTATTAACCAATGAAGTTTCTAATTATTCACCAAAAACAAACTCACTCCCCCCCAAAAAGTGAACGCTCCCAAGTCTGTCATCAGCAGCCATTTTTCAAGTGACATCCCTCTACCTTTTCAGTCTCTTGGAACAATTTGTCAGTAGCATTTTGCTGTGCTTGGCCCGGGATGGGAGCCCTTGAATGTGGAGAGTTCATTCTGGGCAATTCTTCCACAATCCCACAATTTTTTGGGCCACACAATCTCCTCTTTTTCAAATAAACTCTAGGGGTACTTTTTCAGCGCCTCGGTTTGGCGAAGAAGTCTCCTCGAATTGGGCAGAGCACAACTGTGGGCGTGTATTTTGGTGTAGTGCAACCGTTAAGAGTTGAGACGTGTCCGGACGGACGTGCAGTCCGGGGACTTTACCATATTGATGCGCGCGCATTAATTTAAATTTATCAAGAAAGAGCTGCCAGTGAGATTTGTATGTAGGCCAATTGTGCATTTTTGCTACATGGTGCACTATTGTAGCGTTTTGATTGCTCCGTCTTGCTGAGCAAAATTCTGTGCGGTATAACTTGGTTATTAATGGTTTTCTTATCTACGTAAATATGAACGACCCGAAGCGATTCTCTGAAATTGCCAAATGGTTAAGCTCGTGGTTATCAGATCGTCAGACCGTGAGTTCGAATCCCATCGGTGACTTTTATTTTCCCAAAGCTTGCTGTCAGTCAGTAGCTATAAGAGACTCTAATTAACCCCCG